ACGCTCCCGTTCCCATCCCCCTTGCCATCTCTTTTCATGTGTTGATGAGAAGATAAATACAAGAACGAGAGAAAGTCGTAGTAAAACGACTTTGAAAAATATATAAATTTAATTTTCAAATTGAAAAAGGTAAATTAAAAATCAATAACCAGGATTTTTTGAATTTTTTTCCTCAAAATAAAATAATATGATTAAAGAAAAGGGGGGAAATCAGTAACAGTTGGTAACAGCGCGTCACCGCGCCGTCCGGCTCTTGTCCAATCTGTGTGCTGTGAAGAGGAAGCATTGACAGACCCCACCAGTTGACTGACACGTGTCGCGAAGGGTAGCTTCCTCTGTAATCTTTGCTGACGGCAGCTTACGTTATAACAGTTCTCACCCTCACCCCCCCCCTATGTATGCCTCTACAACGGCTCTCTTTGTAACACCTCACCACGTCAGCCAAACAATCCCTGTAAATTAACCTTAAACTTTAAAATAATTTACGAGTAAAAACTAAATCGACCAATTAATTAATTAATATTATATTATATTTTATATATATATATATATGTATATAATTATTTATGGTTCATAATCGTGTAGGAAGTTTGAGTAACAAGACTCCCTCAATTTCCGAGAGAGACACTAGTGTAATGAAATTAATTAATATTAATTAAAGAATTAGGTACTTGGAAAGAAGACATACTTTTAATAATTATAATTAATTAATAAAATTCTCAAATATTTATATATATATATACATTCAAAAGGGGGTTTCTTTTACATTGTCGCTAAAAGCGTATCACAATTATGTTGAAGTGGTGGGTAAATGTTTAGAGTTTGCTTAAACTTTCACCAACAGGTACAGAAAACCTGATTATTACTTATAATCTATACATAATGATTAGTCAAAAACACTTACCTTTTACGTACATTTTTTAATTAATTTATTAAACCATTTTAATTAATTTTTAAGAAGCCAATATAAATATGTGTGTATCGCCCACTCGTGCGGTCAACACCTAGGAATCATGGAAGGGATGAATATATATATATATATATTTAATTATTGTTGCTTTTGCGAATTTTCTGTTGAAAGTAATTTGTGATAGATTTATTAGTTAAAGACCTTTGGAAACAAATTAAAAAAAGAGAATGTTCAACATTTAATTAAATATATTAAGTATGATTAAAGGAGTCAAAGGAAGATTTTGGACTAGCAAGAATAATCATACATGCAAAAGCTTATAATATTATATTTTTTAAAATATCATATTATTCTATATAAAATATTAACCTATAATATTGACTATATGCACTGCAACCTTTCAGGAAATACTAGTATCGCAGCATGTTGGACTGCCCAATTAACTTTTTATCCTAAATAAATTATATGTTAATGTTTTTCTAAAACAATAACCAAAATTTAAATGTAATGCCGGATTATTCTCATGATATAAATGTTGGTATGTGTATATTTATAATAAATTGAGGATCCTTTTTATGGATACCCTAATTTCAAATATGATTTTGAGAAGAATTTTGGGTGGTAAAAATATTTTTCTAATTTATTATTTTACACATAAGAATACAAATTTATACTAATAAAATTGATTTGATAGTTTTTTAACAGTTGTGACAATATATTTCACTCACTCACTCACTCACACGTACAGATCATTATAATTATTATTATTATTATTATTCTGTATATATATATATATACACACACACACACCATAGTTCAAAATAGAAACCCTTTTTTTATTATTATTATGAGTAGGTATGAATGTTATAGATTTTATTATTAATCAAGGAACTATCGAGCATGGAGCAGACTGCAGACCATGTGTTAAAATCGGCAACTTGTCTTCAAAAAATTCCAAGAGAAACATATTATATTTATCAATATACTTGAGTACAAATAGTCAACGGTCAAACACCGTAAACCCCATTAAATTAATTAAACATTTATTAATTACTAATCACTGTTTAATTTAATTGTTAACATTTATTTTTGTCTAAATCATTTTAATAGAGACTGACAAAAAAAGAAAAAATTCAGGTTCTGAATAATCTGATCAGGTGCTGTAATCTTAATGATGAAAACCCAAATGCTCATGGCGGATTCGACGAACTGAATGTTTTGTAAGACGAGAAATTGATGCGTCACTGACATGTCTATTATACATTCCACTGATCACAGCGCCATTATTTTTGCCTGTCGTATCTAATTTGCAATATATTAATTATTTATTTATTTTTTCTTTACCAGAATAATTTATAATCAATTTATAAATTAATTTAGGTTCAGTATTTTTAAAATGATCGTCAGAATTTTTGCTTAATTTTATCATAAATTATTCGTTTTTAATTAAACTATATACGTGTATAGTTGCTTTAATTAATTATTAAAATAAATAAATATAAAGATGTCGGTCGGTGGTATGCTTGTAAAATAAAAATCTTTTGATATTTTGTACAGGGAAATTTAGATCTATTTAATTCTAGTAGAGCATAGCAGGCCATCTTTCTTGGGTCCATGGGCTCTAACATCCAACCGGGTCAATAGGCGGGCGTGATTTGTCCAGACCGGTTTGGTTATTGGCTGAGAATTTAATCATCAATTAATTTTAATTTTTTAGAGTTTTCTTATTATAAACCCGAACTTTTATCAATCGGTCACATTTATTAAATATGAAAAACTAAATCTAGAAGTCACTCAGAATAAATAAATAAGCTTATTGTAACCAAGTGTTAATCTATAAGTTAAGAGATTAATACCATGTACATTTTAAAAAAATAAAAATAAAATTAAAATTTAGTTTCAATTTATAAAAATTATGTATATGTCCAATTGTATACTGACAAATTATTAAAATATTTTTATTGTATATATATATATATTTAAATTCGAGATTATGTACTTATAATGTCACAAAAGTAACCTATTTATACATTTAATTAACACATCTCGACTGCAATTATTCAATTTATATTTTAAGATAGAAATCTAATTTTTTTTTTTGTTTACTATTATTTAAAATAAAATTAATATATATTTTTATATATACGTAAAGATATTATTGCTAATGCGAACTGACAGAGAAGAAAAAAGAAAAAAAAAAAAGAGAAGAAGAGGAGAGAAAAGTTCGTCTGAGGTAGGGTACAGAGAAGACGACGTAAAAAAGGCCAGGTGTAATAATCTGACGTGGATTTTCGTGTGGATTTGACTGACAAGTCTTAGATTTCATTCGCGTTGACCACAGTTTAATTACACTTGTGCGTCGGTAAGAAATTTGTTGCTCTGAAAATTTCCCGAGGTGTAATTATTGATTGACGCTTTTTAAATCGTCAAATTTATAAAAGATTTGATTTTTTTTTTTACTTTTTGTTCACCGCTTCACTCCAACATTTCACTGTCACTTCTCTCATTACATTACAATTTTGATTGATTGAAAAGATGTTTATCAATTAAATTTTTTGGACTTAAATCATTAAATTAAAATCTTATATTTAAAAATTTAGGAAAATATTGTATAATTCAATATTAATTAAGTACTTTGTAATTTTTTCCCTATAAAAATGTTTTTGAATATTTTGAGCATTTAAATTTTTTTTTTGGACAAGATATGAAATTGGGGTTTTTCATTAAATTAAATTTCAAAATTTTTGCATATTCTAAATTATTTTCAAACATTATACATTTTGGACCATATATTTAAATATGTGTTTTAGGTTATAAATATATTTTTGGATTTTTAAAATTATTTTTTAGATATGAATATAAATTTTAACTATTTTTTAAAAAATAAGATTAGTATACATTATAATGTATTTAAAAAAAAAATCGTCTAATTACATCATTAGGGTTAATTAATAAAATTTAATTGAGTTTAATTTATCAGCTTATAGTAGAACCATTGCAAAGAGATTTCTAGCTGCATATATAAATGTATATGCCTTTTGTCTTTTATGAGGATGATTACTGGGGCTGTATTGTTTTTTTGACACGTGCAGTAGTTTTAGCATGAGAGAGAGAGAGAGAGAGAGAGAGAGAGAAAGATAAAAGGGGAAATAGAGAGTGAAAATGAGAGGAGAAATTAAGATGGGATGTTTTGTGTCCCACGTGGGGTTGGCACGTGGCTGCAAATGCGGCGGTTGGAAATTTGACACTTGAGATGAGACCAATGTCTGTCACTCACCCGCATGTATGTTTGCTTCACGCAACCTGCTCCCCCTTCTTGCCGTGGCTTTAAAGTTTTAACCTAATTTACACATTAAATGCACACCATTTCCCCACCTTAGGTTAAAATTTCAAAACCTATTGAATATACAAATTCATTCATGGACAAAATTTTTCATCTCCGAGATCAAACAAATGATAATGGTTTTTTTTCTTTTCATGAAATTTTTGGATCTAAGTTAAATTTTATGTTATGTGTATTTTATTAATATATATGTATCGAACATAAATAATTGATTATTTTCAAAAAGATAGTGGACACTTTATTATATAAAATGCTTTAAACCCAAAATAATTAATTTTTTTAAAAAAATAAATGAATCAATCCCTTCTTCTTGCACCAAAACATCAGCCAAATCTTTTTTGAATTGGAATTTGATTAATTAATTAAATTATTAATGTTTATTAGAAAACAATATTTACTTATCAAAGTAGATAAGTTGGGATTATTTTCAATATTAAAATAATTTCTAACAACCCTATATAAGATGCACCCTATATACATCCATATGTATGTATATCCATTTGGGTATCTGTATATTCTAAATATAAAAAATTAAATTAAATTAAATTAAATTGAATAAAGAAAAGAACCGAGTCATTTCAAGCGAACCATCACCAAAAGCTTCACGAACTATTTTCTAATATGGTTTAATCAACCGAATAAAATTAACCCATCTCTTTGATCCTCCAAATACATAATATAAATATCCATATAAAGCTGGTTCTCTTTCCTCCTTTCTTTCTTTCTTTCTTTCTTTCTCAGCTTGAATCTTTCAGACCCCACAAAAAGGTAGAAGGCTGAAGAAGAAGATCGATCAGATGGAAGGTATGAGCGGAAACAATGGAGGTGGTGGGCCTTGCGGGGCTTGCAAATTCCTTCGCAGAAAGTGCGTAAAAGGATGCATCTTTGCACCATACTTCGACGCAGACCAAGGCACTGCACACTTCGCCGCCGTGCACAAAGTGTTCGGCGCCAGCAACGCCTCAAAGCTTCTCATGCGCATACCCACTCACAAGCGGCTTGATGCCGTCGTCACGCTGTGTTATGAGGCCTTGGCTAGGGCTAGAGACCCTGTTTATGGCTGCGTCGGACATATCTTTACTCTCCAACAGCAGGTAATCTTTAATTATATATCTTTGTTGTTAAAATCATCTGGGTTTATTAGGGTTTCTGAAAAATCATTGAGATCAGTTTTCTTTGTTCTCATATTTAATCTTTAAGTTGCTTAATAGCCCACCTGCAGGAATAAAGCTAGGTTTTTTAGTTCCGGATAATGAAATTCTCTGATCTTGGTATATGCATACAGTTTCAGTATCATAATGGATGAGATCTGTGGAAATGGAACTTTAGTTTGCACGTGTGGTTGATGATCAGAGTAATAATTAAGTTGAGTTTAATTAATTAATAATAATTTATGGTTAATACAAAGATAACATTTCTTTCTTCTTTCTATGTCTAATAATATATATATATATATAGATACATACATATGTATATAATCTTAAAACCTGCATGTCTTTGGAATGATATACACCCGGACCCGGTACTACACCATCGAAAAGAGACAGAAGGAAGTACAAAAGAGCAAGAATTACAAGTTGATTATTTAATATTGATGTTTATTTATACATGAACATATAAGATTAAGTACTTAATTAAATAAAATCGTTTCAAAAATATATTTTACTATAACTTGTTTCTTGAAGTGCGTCATGACTTCTTAATAGTTTTGACAAGTCGTACTATTTAAAAAAGTTGATGAAAATAATAATAAAGTTGAAGCTGTTAAGTCAAGGTTTTCACATTCAGTGTGAAAAAATATATATATATATTTATAGCCTCTTCACTCAGTTTACCGTCAGCATCAGCTTTGAAGTTTCTATCTTCCTCTTTTTTACCCTTTTTGAGTATGGTAAACAATACTAGATAACGTAACGTGCGACAAGTACGTGAAATCTTATTAAATATACGGTCTTGTCTTCTTTGATTTACTAGGGTTTTTCCCCATTGGGTAAAACCCTGTATTTATTTTCCAGCCAAATTTGCGTTAAACTCTTCCCAACTTTAACTCCGGCAGTCAAGAAAGCACAGACAAGAAGTAAATCTTTTCTAACCTCTAAATTTTTTTTTAATCTTCATGCACTTAGTGTTTTACTTATTACCTTCAATATTTGATATTAGATGTATTAGAGAACAGGGTTAGGATCAGAGAGAGAGAGAGAGAGAGAGAGAGAGAGAGAACGGTTCCGTAATATAAAGAAAGATAAATATGCATATGTCTATACACGTAGAAACAAATATAGATATATATAATGGACTCTGAAAGGAGAGGTGTTTGCTTGCCGGAGCTACCAAGCAAGCTTGATTAGCAGCTCGAGGAATATTCAAATCTTTCGGTTCTTGACTTTCATGTACTTCTTTTATAACTTAATCGATAATTATATCATATGCTATTATTTATCTTCATTTTGTACTATTAGATTATTATACATATATGTATATAAATCCGCTTGGCAGATGTTGCATGGAAGAAGTTTTGGGGGTCCTACCATGTGCGGCGATGTACGTGCATATATATGAATACATCCAGTAAATATTACATTAAATACCCTTCTGAATTATCTTGTTACTAAAACAAACGTGTTTACGAAATTTACTTTTAGGTACTAATGGTTTTCTCATGAATTCCAATCCTCGAATTGGTTTTAGATTAATGATACTGTCTTATGACATGTTAATATGCATATGTAAATACAACCCGTATGGATTAGGCAGAGAAGCATCATCTATATGTAACATATATATATATGGGTTTACACGTATATTCCCGTGATCCATGCGTGTGTGTGTGTGTGTATATATATATATATATATATATAATTTCTAGTACTATTTTGTAGGTAGTGAATTTGCAAGCAGAGCTGGCTTACATCCAGGCCAGGCTTTCTACCCTGCAGCGCCTATCTATGGCAGCACAACAGCCATCTCCACCGCCACTGTCCACACCGGCACCAGCTATCCAGGGAGAAATTGGTTCGTCAATATTGGAATTAATCTCAACGGGTTTTAACCCTCTGCAAGTTCCGCCACCATCAGCAACAGAAGCACTTAACAGATCTTATAGCATGGCGGTGTTGGATGAAACAGAAGTACAGGGGGATCTGCAAGCTCTGGCTAGAGAATTTGTGTGTAGGTATTTGCCAGGAGTCAGGTTCAGGCCCTAATTCATTCATCTCTCTATCTACTCATCCATATGTTTTTAACCTTTCTTCTCTAATGAATGCCATCCATCAGACCTGACTGGAAGCTGAAGCTTTTTTATGAATGTCATTTTGGAAAGTATGGCAGTAAGCAACTTCTTTAACCCAATTACCACTTTCATCTTCGTCTTAAATACCATCTTTAAAAATTTTAATCTGATGGTTACAGCAAAACAGTGTTGTTATGTCTTCTTAGGGCTTCAAGCCCACTATGCAAAGCGTTGATACTATTCACACAATTCTACAAGCTAAAATAATCAATTGATTTCACATTACGGGAAAGCAAACAAAGAAGAGTTGATACCTGAGTTTAACATCCAATCATTCAACATCCTCACTAGTTCTTCAAAATATTAAGAGCCAATCACATTGTCAAAACTTTATAGTTGCATGCAGCACATACCCACCAAAAACTACATATTTCAAAATCCTCAGTCACGGAGATACTCCGGATCAATCATACTAACGCTTAAGCACAGAGCTTCTATTGGAACATTTAAAAATCTTCAAAGTCGTTAGTTCAGAGAACTTACTGGTCAAGTCCCCAAGTGTAATGTAATCACGGATATTGATTATCAGTTGAAGTTCAGGATTTGAATGTGCAGCTTATCAGTACTTTTGTGGTTACTGGGATTTGGGATATTCCCAGCCAGCTTGGTAGGCATCACATTAGAAATAAAATTGACTGACAGTATATAAGACAAAAAGAAATACGGAAAAACAAGAAGAGCTATTGGCAATTCTTCATGGCAAGAAGAAAATAGACCGCCTGCTCAAGAAAAAACCAGGATAAATTGCTAGCTACAAGAAGTTACATCTATATGATACCTGAGCATCAGGTATCCTTGAGTATAGGCTGCACAAAAAGATTTCATTTTGTTAACTACTAAGCAGTGTCTGCAATGACATTAAGGAGATAATACGGCAATTGCTAAGGTCATATTAATCCCTAAAGCTGGACGGGTAGGGCTATTGTTGGGAGTGGGGGGAAGAAATATTGGTGATTGGTGATTATTGTGGCCGTGTCCAAGAATTCTCAAAACAAAGAAAAAAAAGTCCAGAAATCACCTTCAAAGTTAGATGTTCTGAGCAAAGAAGTATAAGGTATCACTCGCTGTTCCAAGATCCCTTTCCGTCAGTCATGTAGGACAAACTGAAATGAAATCAGATGGTATTGTTATCTGAGGGATGCTGATAAGCTGGAACTAGAAATGTTTCCACAGCAAGCTGCACACCACATGAGGAGAAGCATCCCTAACCTAACAAGGCATATAACCAAGCAGTGCCATAACGGAAAGAATTTGAACAATCAACTCACCAAATAATTCTTGACGGAAATCATTCGCCATATTCTGAAGTACAACCAGGATCAGAAGCTGTGACTTGTTAAACTTGATACTGAAAACTAATAAAGCGCATTTTCAGAAGCCCAAAAGTATAGGTAAATCTCTATGCGACCAAACAACAGTTGGATGTGCGCTCACAGTAACCCAACAATTACAACATATCTAACCATGACAACTTGAATTATATCATATGAACAGATACCAAACATTGAACAAAATTTTAACTAAGCCTGCTGAAGCTGGAATATAAGAAGACTAAAAACCTTGAAGTGCAGAAAATGTATTACAGAGCTTTCAAAATAAACTTCCAGCAATTTGGTGTCAAACAGACCTTTGAAAAGAATAATCACCAAGAGTTCTCCAAAAAAGTTAGCAAAGATGATTTACCGTTAG